AACAGCTTGCTTGTTCTTGTAGTAGTCAGTTGGACTGCTGTTACTGTTTTTGATTTTTCCTGCCCGTCTTTCTTTCAAGAAGTATCTTCTATTCTTCTAGCCACTACAGGCTGGTCTGCTTGTCCTTTTAAGTGGAAATATCCCACCTCAGGAGATTCTGAATGGGGTTCTGGATTCCATCTCTGGTCTTAATGCATTGCAAAGGCTTCGCAAGAAGCCTCTTTCACTGGGCAATTTCTAGCCCCCTTTAGATATCCCCATCAGTTAAAGGCTGAAGATGGACTTACAAGCTTTCTTTGGTGATATTTCTGGCTATTCCTTTCTTTCCTCCTCAAGTGTGTATTTTTCAATGGTAGGCAAGGAAAACCAAGATTCAAAAGTCAGCCAAGCCTCTTAACATTATTTCCCCCCTTTTACCCATTCAAACCATGCTTCAATCCCTGTATCCCAGAGCCTTGTTGTTCCAAGGTTATGCAGACATCATTATTTACCTCTGTCCCACTTAGCCCATGCAAACCTGCCTAACTGTTCTCCCATCCGCCTTGTTTTTCCATTCCCCTCCCCCTTCTTGTGTATTGTCCCCTTCTCCAGAACCCAAGCTATCCTGTGTCTATTCCCTACTGTGTGCTACATCTTCCCCTCCTTCCCCTTACCACACCCCATACATCCTGGTGATCAGCAAAGATTTTTTTCCCCCCTTTTAGCGTGGGCTCTTTTTCTTAATCTTTTGCAATAATTGTCCTATGCAGTATTTCTTCTTTTGTGACTAATTTCACTCAGCATAATGTCCTCAAGGTTCATACATGTTATGCGATGGCTTGCAGCTTCCTTGTTTTTCTACAAGGTAGCATAATATTCCATTGTGTGTATATATCACAGTTTTTTTTTTATCCATTCTTTCACGGATGGGCACTTAGGCTGTCTCCATCTTTTTGCTATTGTAAATAGTGCTATTAACATTGGTGTGCATATATCTCCTCGTGTTATGGCTCATATTTCTTGTGGGTAAATACCAAGGAGAGGAATTGCTGGACCATAAGGCATTTCTATTTCTGACCTTCTGAGGAAGCACCATATTGCTTTCTAGAGTGGTTGGACCATTTTGCAATCCCATCAGTAATGTAGGAAGGTCCCAGTCTCTCCGCATCCTCACCAACATTTATTGTCCTCTAATTTTTTAATCTTTGCTGTTATTGCTGGTGTGAAATGATATCTCATTGTTGTTTTTATTGCATCTCTCTAATGGCTAGTGATTGTGAACATTTCTTCATATGTTTGTTGGCTGCCCAGATCTCCTCCTTGGTGAAGTGTCTGTTCATGTCCTATGCCCAGTTTTTAATTGGGTTATTTGTCTTTTTCTTGTAGAGCTGTTGTAGTTTCCTATCTTATACGCTGCCACTTTGCTGACTCTTCCAATGAGGTCTGGTAGCTTTTTTACTGAGTCTTTGGAGTTTTCTATATATAGGATCATATCGTTTTATTTCCCGTTTTGCCAATTTGGATGCCTTTAATTTCTCTATCTTAACCGTGTAGGTCTTCCTAAGACTTCCAGCACAATATTGAATAGGAATGGTGACAAAGGGCAACCTTGTCTGGTTCCTTTTCTCAAGGTTCACGTTTTCAGTTTCTCTCCATTGAGAGTAATGTAGGCTTTTGGTTTTGTATATATCCTCTTAATTTTGTTGAGGAATTTCCCTTCAATTCCTACTTTGTTGAGTGTTTTTGTCAGGTATGGATGTTGGGTTTTGTCAAATGCCTTGTTTGATCCGATCATGTGGTTATTTTTTCTTATTTTATATGGTGGATTACGTTGATTGTTTTTCTAATCTTGAACCAGCCTTATATCCTGAAATGAATCCCACTTGATCATAATATATTATGTTTTTGATATACTGCTGGATTCTGTTGGCTAGAGTTTTGTTGAGAATTTTTGTGTCTTTGTTCATGAGGGATATTGGTGCATTTAATCCATTTACATTCAGTGTAATTATCGATTGTTGTCATTGTTAAGTGCCACCGAGTCGGTTCCAACCCATAGCGACCCTTATGGGGTTTCTGAGGAGCAGCTGGTGAGCTTGAACCGCCGACCTTGCAGTTCAAACGGCTTTGCAGTCTGGTGCGTTAACTCACAGAGCCACAGCATAGGTATGGTTTAATTATTGCCATTATGTTTGTTTTTTGGTGTGGTGTTATTGGTATCTTTGTTCTGCATGTCTTCCTGTACTGAGTTCATGGGTTGTTTTTTGTTGTTGTTGTTGTTCTTTCTTGTCAGTTTCCTCATAGTTTTAATGTTTCCATGTTCTTCTTGGATTTTCATTTTCTTGGCATGTTGTGAAATATTAATTTTCTTTGAGGTTATCTTATATCCCATAACCTTTCCCTCCGTTTAATACAGTCTTTTTTTTATCCTGTTATCTGCCTGCCCTTCTCATCACCTGGATCTCTGTTCCTACATGTTTACCTTCCTTCACATTGTAATTGTTTTGATCATAGACTAACCTTCCAGATCCTCTGAATTTGTTCTTATAGTTTTGTTCTGTTCCGACTCTTCTGTTTGTCAATTGAGTTCTGAGTGGTGCTGCCATGTATGTTAATCTCTGGTTGTTGTCTGTTCTTGTTGGGTCTCAGTCCACAGAACTCCCTTTAGGATGTTTTGCAGCACAGGGTTGGTTTTGGCAAAATTCCTTAGCTTCTGTTTATCCTGGAATGTTTTGATTACACAGTGGTATTTGATTGACATCTTTGCTGGGTAGAGCATTCTTGGTTGAGTTTTTTATCTTTCAGTGTTTTATGTATGTCTCCCCATTGCCTTCTTGCCTGCATGGTTTCTGCTTGAGAGATCCAAGTTTAATCTGACTTGCTTGCTTTTGTTGTAACACATTTCTTTTCTCTAGCTGCTTTCAGGATTGTCTCCTTGTCTTTGATTTTGGAGAGCTTGATTATGATATGTCTTGTAATTTTCCTTTGGGGTCTGTTCTTCTTGGGGTTCATTGAGGTTCTTGAATATTTATCTTCTCATCTTTCAAGATGCTAGAGAAAATTTCTTCCAACAGCTCTTCAACTATCTCTTTTGTGGACTTGTGTGGTTCTTCTTGTTCCAGAATGCCAATAATTCTTAAGTTATTCCTCTTCATGTTATCCCACATAAGTCTTAGGCTTTCTTTCTTTAGATATTTTTATGTTTTTTTCTGCTTGCTCTTCTATCTTAGTAGTATTGAGAGATTTGTCTTACAGCTCACTAGTTCTGGCTTCCATCTCTTCCATTCTACTCCTTTGCCCTTTCAGTGTATTGTCCATTTCTGATATTATTAATCGTTTGGAACTCTTTCTGTAGGTTTTGAATTGTTTCCAATGCTGTATCCATCTGATTTGATTATTCCTGTAGTGCTTTCTTGACTTCTTCCTTATTTTTCTCAACTCCATTGTAAAGTGTTTTGATACATTTATAATCATATTTCTGAATTCTTGCTCAGGCATTTCCAAAGCTTGCCCTCCTTCCAGTATGGAGTGTAGATCTCCCTGAAGATCATTTGTCTCAATTACTTTATCTTGTTTCTGGACATGTGCTGATACGGTCATCTGTTTTTTGGTCATATTCAGTAGTTACCTGTGGCCTTAATATTTAAAAGAGTATGTGTTTTGGTATTTTTACACTTTCTGATTGCCTCCAGGTAGATGTGAGCAGGAGATGGGTTTCACTTTTCACTCTTCTGATTACTCGACTCAGAGTAACTGTTGCAGGTGTTGCTGCGTATCTGTTGCATGCAGCTGGTATTGGTTCTTTCCTGGATTGTGGAATTGTATAGGGTGTGAGTGTAGCTTGACTATATGCCAGCAATTCTGTCTCTTCTTGGGTAATATAGGGAGAGAAAGAGCCCCCTAAAGATAAAGATGGGACAAAAAAAACAAACAAACCAAAAAACCAGCAACATCAAAAAAGACAGACTGAATACTGTAGTGTATGGTCACAGAAAAGAGAGAAAAATCTGTAGGCTAATATGTGTATGACTGTAATATCCTCTATTAGTGTCTTGCCTTCAAGGCTGCCTGAGAAATTTCAAGTTGTCATTGTTGATGGTTATGTAATTCAGGGTTTTCGGCCTACTTTGTTATTAGTCCATGTCTCTCCTGGTTCACAACCCCCATTCTAGCCTTTTTCCTATTGATAAACAGTTCAGAGCCAGCTGTGGCCATTTTGTGCTGCCGTTTGGTTTTAAGTGGAAACTGTTCCTTTAAATTTTTTAGGAGAGCTGTGTGCCTGCATAGTAGAACCCTCCGGGCGTGGGGGAGGTGTGCACTCTCTCAGGCACCCCCTCTAGTCACCAGAATGGAGGTGCGCAGACAGCAATAAACTCACCTTTATCTCCGAGGTTCCCTCAGGAGTCAGTTGGTGGCGGCTCTGATCCTTCTCTCAATCTCTCCCAAGATGGCGGCTCCTCCTATTACTCTTTTGGTGCATTTGTTGAAATGTGTATTTTGAGAATGTTGTAATTTATTGTAGACAAGTGTTGCATGTTTTTAGCCTGGCAATATAAATAGAGATGAAGAGCCTAGGAGTTGTGGTTATTAGTGTAGGGCATATTGGGGCAAGGGTAATTTATTGTAAGGTTTGAATATTTGTAGGCATCTTTAAGGGTAATGTTTTATCAGTTGCTTTTGCAAAATAAGTGCATTGATGGTAGGTCAGAGTTTTTGTTGCTTGTTTAGCAATTCACTATGTGCCCATCCTCGTACCAGCCCTAAGTATTCAGCAGTGAACAAAACACAGTCCCTGCTCTCCTACTACATAATAATGGGCAAGAATAAATTGATTAATTAAAAAAATTTTTACTCCTAAATTAAGGTAAGTAACTTTCAAATAGTTGTGTAATGATTTTAAATAGTGCATGTGTGGCAATTATGAAAATGAGATATTGATTCAAATATGAAGTTATATTATAATTCTTAGTGACTATTGTACTTTGAAATTATGTGCTCAGCTGTCTTTTGTTTGTCAATAGAGAGCAGATCATAAAGCAGTCTACAGAGTTAGTCTGCCGAGCCTACAGTGAAGTGTATGCAGCTGTGATGGATCCAGTCAATGACTACAAAGCTCCAGAGAGCATTCTCCATCGATCGCCACAACAAGTGCAGAGCCTTCTCTCCTGATGACTTTATTTGATGATGTTAGCAAAATATTGTATCCCTAAAACACTGAAGACTGTCTTGTTTGTAGGCTGTTAGTCTTTAAATTTTGATGGCTTAGATTTTGTGTGTAGTAAGATGATAAACCCCGTTAGTTTCTTGCTTTGGCAGTGAGGACATGTAAGTAATGTAGCATATATTGGTCTGAGTTACAGCAGCTCTTTAGGGCCGGCCAGCATGCTCTGTTCTCTGCCTCCTACCTCTTCAACTCTCTGCAGTTGCTTGTCCATTCTGGAAAAGAGATGTATGGAAGAAGTAATACAAAATAAAAATTTTTACAAGACTAGTTAGTTCTAATGAACAATACATAAGAAATGTGCTTAAATAAAAATTAGTATTCAGAATATGACCCAATAAATGTGTCTTTGCCTAAAGATTCATTTGCTTTCTTAATAGTTATTAATGTGAGTAGTCATACCTAGTAGCTTTGTTGAACCTAGCCTATTCTCTGCCCCTACCTCAGAATGATTGCCTTAAAATAGTTCAAAGAGAAATAGAAATCACAGTGGATTGTGGGGGTGTACACGGATGAGTCTTTTTCTGTTCACTGTAGCACACAGTATCTAATAGAGTACACATATTTTATGCAATAAGAAAAACGATAGCGAGGCTGTGGGTCAGGGAGAAGAAGAGAGGAGGGTAATGTCAGTAGACTGAGACTCGCTCTGCATTTGCCCTGACTGAACAAGGTCCTGTCCGTTAGTTCTCAGTGCTACATGGCTTTCGAAGTATGAGCATCTGTGCTCTGTCTAACTCTTGTATTTATAGATCAGTATTTGTCATGCAGTGTTGACTCTTAAGTCCAGTCCACTATGTGGTTTATATGGTATGCAGACCAAAGAAACAGGATCTATGCCAACACTGGAGGAAAAATCAGCTCAGCAGTGCCTGTCTCCATGTTGAGCCCTCAGAGTGATTTGACCTCTAACTAGAGCTTGACCTAGGAGTAAGATTGTTTTAAAAATCTCAATGTGTTTAATGTGACATGAGTGTAAGATTTCTAGGATAATTTCTGTTATTTAAATATTTTATTTAATGATTGATATATAAAGGGTAAATCCCTAAAGTATAAATGAGAAAACGAGGCACAGGGAGGGAAAAAGGGCTATAATTTGAAATATTTTTAAAAGTAGTAACATAAAGTTAATATTTGTCTCAGATAATATAGTATGTAGCATAACTTAGTATTTATAGAACATGGCCTAGTCATCTCTCTGAAGCTTATTGTAATTACTTATACTAATATGATGCTTTGGGCCATAAACAAATTATATCTCATCCATTTTGCTGTAAATCTATACTTTTAGTCTTGTTCTTTCAAAGAATATATGTGATATATAAAAGATGGAATATAAAGTGTGATTTAAATAAAAGCTTGGACTTTACATAACTTATTTGTGTTTTATAAAAAACAAACAAACATTGACACCCTACCATTATGGATGCCAAAGGCAATCTGGTGAAGGCTGTACCTATAAGGAAGGCCTCACAATGTTGTCTTAGAAAATGCTTATGGCACAGGCAACAAATGTTGCTAGAAATATGGATGTTCTATGTGCATCTAATGAGGCTTATGCTGAAGAAATTGATGAACATGTGATTCGACAATGGGGAAGGCAATGATTTTATGCAGTGGTAAAGAACTTGTCTGAATTACTCAAATGCTTGATGGAACATAGAACTTATAACTGATGAACTTAAATATCTCACCGATGATATTTCTAAGAAAGACCTTAAAAAGAAAGGCCTTGTCACTTAAAGTCCATCTCTTTCCTCTTGCATTTTACTCTAAAATGAACTGTATAAAATGAAAACAGTACTTACAACTTTAGAAAATTCTCTTGTATAAACTAAAGTCCTGTTGTCAGAGTTTACACCAAGGACATGACTTTGCAATCTTTTGTTAGAGATTAAGCCTTTGCTTGAGGGATCTAATCAACCATCACAGCAGAAAACCAATCATCTTAGACTGAAGGGGACAGAGGAATAGGAAAGAATGCTGTTTGCCTCTTGAAATTATACAGGTAGGGAACAGGCCAAAGGAGCTACAACTGCTGGCCTCCAAGAAAAGAAAATGACCATCCCTGCAACTCAGAAATCAGCAGAACTGTTGTAAAGGAGCATGGGAAGCAAAATTGCCTTGGTCTCAAAGTGTTGGGCCATACCTCTGGGGTATCAAAATATACAGCCATGACCTCTTAGGTTTCAAAGAACCAAATCTTCTTCAACAACTCATTTACAGACTATGGGGCTGTCCATTGGGTTTGGCCTAAAGCATAGGGCTGCTGGCCAAAGCAGAGGGAACAAGGCTGCCATGCCTAAACAGCAGAAGAATGAGGCCTGCTTGGGCCAAGGAAATGGGGTCACCTTTCAGATGGACTAGGCGAATGAGACCTCCGAAAACCGAGGCAGCATATTTGCTCTTCCAGTTGTGCTCGCTTGAAGGTCTCCATTCAGAATCCAGAAAGCTTGGCCAACACCTGTAGTCTGGAGCTTAGGACCTTGTCTCAAGCCTTCCAAGCCTTGAGAACTTAGGACCTTGTCTCAAGCCTTCCAAGCCTTGAGAACTAATATAAACTGTTTGTTGGAATTTGGACTAGCTTGGTGCACATAGTTATCCCTTCTTTCCCTCCAATTTCTCCCATTTGTAGTGGAAATACCTACTTTGTGCTTGTCCCACCATTGTATTTTGGAAACAAATAAGTTGTTCAAGGGGGCTTCAATAAGTATGTGGAAAATGGAATTTAAAAAAATTCCTGTTAACTTTTAAAAGCCCCTTCATAAACTTTTAAAATCCCTTTCATATGCTAGGATTCACATATGAGAAGAATTTTGCCCCAGGATGGGCTATGCCTAATGTAACACTCATCTTTGATTTATATGATTCTGAAGTTGATCTTTTGGATTTGAGCTGACTTTGGACTTTTGGGTCCAATGTGTTTAGCATGTGATAAGGACATAGATTTTGGGAGGCCAACAGGTAAAATGCTAAGTATTGAAGCTGTGTCCTCCAAAATATGTGTTGTAAATTCTCCATGCTTGTGTTTACATTTTTGTATCAGTATCCTTTTATGTTAATAAGACAGAATTGGTATAGGGCAGGGATGGGGAACCCCTGGACCGTATAAAGCCCTTGAAATGATCTAGTCTTGGCCTGCCAAGGCAGCCACAGTTCCAGCCATTACATTTGTTGTTACATTGAGTCAGTTCCGACTCATAGTGACGCTGAATAGCGGTGAGTTAACTAAATGACCAAATAGCAGGCTTTTTAAGTTGATAATTTTGTACAGCCTTCGAATGATGTTACAAATATCCAAGTGACCTTTGGCAGCAAAACCATTTCCCACCCCTGGTGTAGGGCATGTCTAAAGTGAATCTCCTGCAAGAGAAAAAGAGCAGATTAAGGAAGCCTAAATGGGAGAGAGATGCCAAGACATGTGAAGCTCACCCAGAAGCAGAAGCTCAAAAAATACAAGGACCTTCCTCAAGACCCTACAGAGAAAGAGAGCCTTCCCTAGAGTTGGTACCCTGAAACTGGCCTTTTAAACTCTCAGAGAGTGAGTACATTTCTGTTTCTTAAAACCATCCACTAGAGATATCTCTTCTTATAGCAGCATTAGGATCCAAGACACTAGCTATAAAAAAAGAGAGAGGAAACTCAAATTACTAAAAACGGAGATGAATTGGAGCCCTGAACTTACAGAAATAAAAACAGTGGTAAGAGAATGCTATGAAAACTTATACATGAACAAGCTAGGTTTTTGACGACTTCAGTCTTTTCTCCATTTGACACGATGATATTATTGGTCCAGTTGTGAGACTTTATGTCTTCTTTACATTGAGGTGCAACCCATACTGAAGGCTTTCATTTTTGATTCCATCAGTAAGTGTTTTAAGTCCTCTTTGCTTCCAGCACGCAAGGGTGTATTGTCTACATATCATAGGTTGGTAATGAGCCTTCCTCCAATCCTAATGCCATATTCTTCATATAATCCAGTTTCTCCAATTATTGGCTGGGTCTGGATCTTGCATCTGTCTCATCCTTCAACTTTCAGTTCTTTGAACTCATGCCAAGCTATTAACTGCAAATTCTATGAGTCAGCTGCAGCCTGCCATCTGACTTGCCAATATTTGTTCATCAGCCCTGCAGCTAAATGAGTCAGAAGCCTCCAGCCTGGCATCTAATCCACAGACTTGGGATTCCACCTCTGCAACTATGTAAGCCATGCCCTTGATATAAACCTTTCTATATGGGGAGCACAGTGGCTCCATATGATAAGCACTGGACTGCAAACCACAGTGTCTGTGGTTTGAGCCCGCCAGCTGCTCCTTGGGAGAAAGATGAGACTTTCTACTCTACAAAGATTTTAAAAGTCTTAGAAACCCTGTACAGGGTCGCTATGGGTCGGAACCCACTCGACGGCACTTAACAACAACAACAATGCATGTATGTATATATACACACATACATATTCTGATTCATAGCAACCCTATATAGGGTTTTCAAGGAGCAGCTGGTAGATTTGAACTATCAAAGTTATAGTTCAAACCGAACTGGCAGCCCAGTGATTATATATACATATATATATGTATGTATATATATGGTGCTCTGGTAGCGTAGTGGTTACCAATCGGGCTGCGAACCGCAAGGTCAGCAGTTCGAAACTACCAGCTGCTCCATAGGAGAAAGATGAGGCTTTCTGCTCCCGTAAAGATTTACAGCCTCGGAAACCCTGTTCAGGGTCACTATGGGTCGGAACCGACAACAACAAATATAAATATATATATATATATATATGTTATGTGCTGGTGTTAAATGCCGTAGAGTTTGTTCTGATTCATTACAACTCTGTATAAGGTTTCTGAGGAATGGCTGGTAAGTTTGAACCACCAACTTTGTGGATCAAACCGAACTTATGGTTCAGTGCTTATCCTATAGTATCACACTAGGACTCTCTCTCTAAAGGTTTGGGTCGGGCGAACTTAGTTATCAAATTGACATCTCTGCTGTTTAACACTTTAAAGAGGTCTTGTGCTGCAGATTTGAGTAATGCAATATGTCCTTTG